AGCGTTCGTCTATAAGTTTCTATTCTGTCGGCGCGGTCCCAACAGATAACTTCTGTGTCAAGGGCTGCAGTGCTGCGGGTGGTGTCGGCGGTACCTGATGTCTCCTGTGGTGCTGCAGCGGACACCAAAACACGGCAGACGAGAGGCTGGTGCGGACTGAGATTCTCAGCGTGCAGAGGCAGAATTTGGCAGTCAGTAATGCCCGGGAGCAGATCGCACGGCACGGCTATATGATCTATGTGACTCTGGCAGCCAGCACGCGAGTAAGTGAAGTCCATCGGCTGGGGAAAGAGAAACTCTGCTACAACAAGCTCGTTATGGTCCAGTAGGTCCTGCATAGCGACGCTGTGTCGAGTGAAGCCCTTGAGCCGATGCCACTGTGATGGGCGCTGCGCTGCTGTCATTCTCGGTAGTGCACAGTTGAAATCTCCAACTAAGACTACGGGGGCAGAGGGGCGCTGCGCAGCAATCAAGGCGTCCAACTTGGCTGTGACAATGTCGTACTCATCGGAGTTGCCGCCGGATCCGTCCCAAAACGGCAAGTAGCAGCCGATGACATTCAGCACGGGCTGCCTGTTGAACAGTGCCGTTATGCCACACAGGCGTGGATCGTCGCAATCAAGTGACCTGAAGGTCAGCCCCGGTCGGCGGCGGCAAATAACAATCAGACCGCCGCGTCTTCTGCCTTCTCCCGGCCCTGGCGGGGCTTCCATTGAAAATGATTGGAACACCTGGAGAGCGTCATATCCTGCGGCGGCAATAATTCTGTCCGCGTACGCCTCCTCCGCACGCGACAACCAGCTTTCTGATAGGGCTAATATGTCACAAAATGGCAGAACCTGATCGTCAATATACTTGAAGGCGGACAGAAAACCCTCACAATTATAGGTGCCGACGGAGAGCAGACAGTCGTTAGGCGAGTGAAGACTAGCGGCGTGCTGGTGGGGCCGCGTCGTCGTCGTGCCATCGCCAGCCGCTGCCGCTGGTGCCCCAGGGGTCGGAGACGGTGCGGTTGTTCTGCCGATCCCGTCCACGGCGTCGCGCCGTTGTCCACTCGCCGTGCTCGTGGGAGTACCCAGTAGTTGCGCCTGAGCTCCGCTGCGAGTGGGTGGCGGCGCTCGGCTGGGCGGACTGGTGCTGTCTGGTGCCGCTGAACCGGGTAATATTGATTGGGGCGTGTCGCTCCCTTTGTGCCGACTGATTTGTGGCCTGAAAGCGCCTCCGTCGGTGACCCTTGTCAGCCTTCGGCCGAACGCTGAGGCCTGTCGGCCAGCGTCCAGGGTCCATGATTACTGCAGAGCGAGCCTCAGCAACCTCAAACATATATGCCCTTCCTGGTGACTGTCCGTTGAAAGGCAGGCGATGGAAGCCGTACAAGTTTGCGGCTACTGACTGTATCAAGTCGTGTACGGCGTGGTGTGGCGCATCTGGGCGGAAACCACTGACAATGAACTTCTTTGTGTCTGGCTGCGGAGCATCTGCAGTAGTCAGTACCAGATCAGAGGCGGCTCCCGACCCAGTCATGGCAGTCCGCTCAGCAGCGAGACTGAAGTTGTCAGGTCGGGTCGTGACCTCCTGACGGGTCGAGCCGGTGCCTTGGTACGAGCGCGGTGGGGACAGAGGTCGCGCCGATGGTACGGGATTCTGTCGATCTGCAGGCACAGGCGCACCGCCACCCTGGTGCTGGACAGGTCGTTGGCCCACTTCGTAGCTGCTCTCCGAGTCTGAGTCACCGGTTTGCCAATGGATTGCATCCGCAATTGCCTTCCCAAGCGCTCGTAGATCTATCGCGGCGGCGATATCTTTGGCGGTGGTAACCGGGCGGGCTCCGGCAGGCTGCGTCTCATTGTCGCCTCTGCTGGCGGCAGGTAAGCGTGCCTGGTTCAACTGGGCGGCCGTGCCTTCGCCTGCTGGTGACTGGTTCGCAGCCTCACGGCCTAGAGAACTGCGCAGCTGATCCTCAAGCTCGTCGATTCTAGCGTCACGGGCGGCGCAGGCCCGCTGCAGCTCGTACAGCTGCTCCTCAAGACGTTGCAGCCGAGCTCCCTGAGATTCAGCAGCAGCTGCGCGCCGCCGTAGCTCCTCCAGCTCTCTGTCCATCCGCAGCTGCGACTCAATGACGGAGCGCAAGGAGGTCTCCACGGTAGCAGCGCTGACCAAACCGGGGGGAGGTTCGTTTACCGAACTCGACGACGGCAGCGGCGTTCTACCGGCCGGCTTAAGTACGTGGTTGTCGGTGCGGCGGGTAAGCTGGCACTGAGCGGCGGAGTATCCCAGCTCCCAGCAGTCGTCGGCGAGGGCGTTAATGTTCCCCGACTGCCGGCTACGTAGCGGCCGCCCAGCGGTGGCGGGGATCGCTGTAGCTAGGCTGTCGTGCAGCTTCTCACGAAGACGGCGCAAGTCAGTCTCTTCCAAGGTCGCCAGAAGACAACGTACCTCCACCGGACTGCACTGGCCGGAAAACACAGTACCACCGTTCGCGAACAGTTCTCGCTTCTCAGCGGAGGAGGCGTCAGCCGGAACCAGTTCTTGTAGTCTGACACGTTGGCTTGGGGGAACGGACGGCTGCTCCAATATCTGACTGAGTTCCGACTGTGTCAGTTCCGGCGGTGTGTCCGGTAAAACAGCATCGGTTTCCATGACTAAACCTACTCTTCGTGACGCTGTAGGCACTACTATATATTCCGAGAGAGAAGTGTCAAAAATTAGCACGAGAGTCACAGAGAAAAATCAAGAGCAAAGTCGCTGAGGCGGAAATTCGAAAATTCGGTAACTGGGTCAAAAATTATCAAACTTTACAAACTTATAATAGGATGTTTGTTAAATTAAAATAGAAGCGAGTGGACCACACTTATTCTACGTTAAATTAGGAACCGTATGGTATTAAGCACATATCACAAGGCGGAATAGGACCGCCAAAAATATGCAAAACCGTAGAGCACTTTTAAACACGTCCGACCCGAACGAAACTCCCACAGCATCTAATGCAAGGCCATATATAGTAGGTAGCGACACTGAGCGATTTGTTTACAGCCAGTTTCGATCCCGATGACGCAAATGTGTCGTCACGAGACAAAACAATATGGCCACCTCTAATGAGAACCAAGTGCAATAAGTTCCCGGATGTAGACAGCACTGACGTCACCGGGATCGAAACCGACGACATCAGTACTGGACCTATGGCGAAGCAAAGTAGTGACATCCCCCTGATCTAATGCGTCTCCCAACAAAACTCCCACAGCGAAATGAAACTCTGAAATGAAACTCTGAAATGAAACTCTAATGAAACTCCCACAGCGTCTAATGCCAGGACCACCCCAGCTACCGCGGTAGGGTCTAATGCAGCAGCACTTTTTGTTGGCTCCAGGTAGCTTGACTAAGCTTGACTTTGTTCACCGCGTGAACAATGCACATAAACCAGGAAATGTTAAAAGAAAGGCGAAAGGAGAATGGCAACTCTGTTGTTTAGAGACGGTTATATCTTGGAACCTCTTTAGCGCATTGTATTAAATAGCTACACACCTCATCTCCGCCGCTTTAGGTCCTATAAAATGATGTCAGTTGTCATGGGTGCCTACTGCAGTACTGCGTCATCCACACTGGTAAATCATATCCCTCGTTGTAGCGTTTCTATTCTTTCTTCCAAAAGCGAATTACTCAAACGATGCTACATAGCCGACATGCACATGCGAGCGGCGCCCGCCAATTATATCACACTGGGCGCATTGGTCTGACGGCGGCTGTGGCCTGCCGATGGGGCGTCACCCCCTGGGGATCCCGTGTGATCAGGGAGTGGCCGGTGCGCGTCCCTCGGAACCAGGCGTCATAATAGCGACCGACGTCGGTGTCGACAGGCCCACAATATCGCCCGGGCGATCATGTAAATCGAATTACGCCGTCAATAATGCATTGGGAGCGTTTGCGGCGACTGAGTGCGGTGACGGTATCGTATCTACTGGCTGTTGTGAGGCGGAAAGGGTGCTGATGGACGTATAGGGTGGTGTGGAGTTTGGGTAGAGTCATCGGCCATTTGAAGAGTGTCTGGGAACGCAGATGTTTCGATAAAGATGATGGCTTTGACGCGGTAGTTTCGCTCCGATGTAGCTCAATGTGGATGCTATGATGTCGGTAGTTTCCGAATTAGCTCTGTATTGTCCATTGACGTCTGTTCTGGCAGTGAGTTATTGACGTCTCGGGGAGTAAAGAAATGCGCTGTATTGTCATTGCGGGCAGCTGTTGTACAGGTTGCCTGTTTTTTCATCAGAACGCTGGATTTGTGTATTACCATTTGTCAACGCTGGATTACCATTTATGTATCGTGTATGTTACATGACAGTCGTGAACTGAACACTTAGGAAATATGGAGCGACTTCAAAACAATATTTATATCTGCATAGATATGAGACTAGTACCTAGAGAACAATGAACCTGACCTCCCGAATTTTATCGGACTTTGGCTTTCATACAGGCTGCATCGTACAATATACAGACGAGATGAATGCGATGGTCGTTAATATTCATGTCTTCACTTCAGGTCAGGCTTCATGTCTTCCGTCTAAGGTGCCAGGACACATCCAAATCATATAATCACTGTCACTTGCCGCGAGAGCACCGATTTGGGTCTTTCAAACTGCAAAGAGTCATAATTCACTAAACGACTTATCACACTGGCCTCCTACGCACCAGAAGCCAGCGAGACTTCAATAGGAAACAGCTGAAATCATGTCATATCGCCTGGCGGCTCTTCATTTGAACTGGTGTGAGTCACTCATTACCGAAACCGAGATAACTAAACTGAAACGGCAATGTGCTGCGTGCTCTTATTGAAGTTCAATAAGTTTGAACATGCTGACGAGAGAAAAAAATGTATGGATTACTTTCAGCCAATAAACATGCTGCCAAAGTCATACGATGTCCTGCCCCTCGATGTCCCTGCGATGTCATACGCTCCTGCTGCGTTTCCTACGTCTCAGTCCCCTCTTTCCCTTATTCTCCATCAGGTGTCTGCTGAACGCCAAGTCGGAGCCCATCATGAAGATTGTCCAGGACGTGCTGCGTATTGTGCTCAAGTTTCACGCGCAGCTGAGCGCCGTCCAGTGGACGGTGGACGCCGACGGACAGGTGGTCCACCCGACGTTCGCGGCCGTGATGAAAACGCACCGCCAGTTCAGCGGCTACTCTCGGTTCCTGTTCAAAGGTAGGTGGGTGTGGGGTGTTTGGGGGGGGATCGATGTAGTGGGTAGGTTGAGTGGGTTGAGAGGAGTTACTAGCGTGCGTTAGGTCAAAGTTAAGTAGGCTGGGTCGAGTGGCTATGAATGGAAATGCGTGCATTGGGCCAAGTGGAGTTCTGGAGGTTTTGATTAATGAGGCCTGCATTATTCAGTTGGCAAAAGTCCTGCACCTGATCAAATAGCGCAATTTATTGATGAGTCGTTACCTTCGGCTTTCTCAAATATCGTTTTTTAATGAATATTGAAGCCTTGGGACTTCTTTCAGTTATGCATTGTTCATATTTGCCGTAATAATCAGCTCCCAAGATCAAACGCAAAGTTGGTAACATGCTTAACTATGCAGTTTTTCTTCTGAGCCGAAACAATAATAGCTCTTCCTTTGAACGTCAAGGCAAACATTGATGAAAAAACGTTCGTGCGTTCTTCTAATCTCTTGATTTTAAAACACTTGCATGATTTTTTAATCGGAACATATGCGCTCAGAACGCTGAACAAATCATCAGAGCAATGCACAGGCAACTTGTTAGCGTGTATGATTTTGAACTGTGTAAGCCTTGTTCTTTATGGGTATTATTGATCACACCTAAATTCACCCAAGCTACGATATGCAAACATTTTAATCGGTCAGCTATAATTGTATTATCTACACCTTTTTCCTTCAGTTTGAAAAAGTTGGACATCAATTTGAAAAAGCTGCACTTAAGAAAAAATGTCATTCAATTTGAATTACATTTTTTTCAAATGTAGTGCATCTTTTTCAGATTGAAATCCAACTTTTTCAAGCTGAGGGAAAAAAGTGTAGTGGGAATGTTCAGAACGTCTAATATAAGTGGTTCATATAGAATATTAAAAAAAAATATATATCTGCGCTGGCATTCCATTACACCGCACAGCGAAGCAGTTCGTCTCAACCGGACTTCTTTAAATTGATTCTTCTTATAAGTGCTCCTACCAAATATACCATTGTTACTGTGCAGTGCTACCTTTTAGTGTCATTGCGATTGCCATTCTCAACGCACTAGCTGACAGCACCCAAGGCAGTTTCATTTGTAAACACACCAATGGCTTCCTTACCCTAATTAGTTTACCACAACATGCGTCCGTTGACAGTTGTGAACAAGACCAAGGATCGCTTCTACCAACCGCACCTGAACGATCTTGCCAACCGCCTGAACTTCAACGGCTTCTACACATCAGATGTCGGGCCCGTCTAGCTCGCGAACCGCTGGGCGTCTTGCTCGGCTAGCTCACGAGTCACTGGACATCGGGCCTGTTAGCTCACGAGTTACTGGACATCGGGTCCTTATAGCTCACGGGCCCCTGGATGTCTGATGAGTCAAGCTCATGAGCCACTTTTAGAGCTCTAGACTTGATGTGGAACTGAGGTACTTGTCGTTGCTAGGTGACACGTGTAGATATCAAGTAAATTAAATTCTTTCCCTTCTCGTCCGCTGTATTTCTCCGACCTCTCGGCTATTGTTCATAACTAAAAGTGTCGTTTAATTGTGATGCCAAGACATTTTATATAACTGTGTTGCTATGTCGGTAAACAAAGAAAATGTTGGTGTATGCTTTAGTACCAGTGCCTGCTACTCAAACGTCTGTATCTTTAAGTCGCGCACCTGTCTCATATTCCTCATCTTCTTCGAATACGTAGCTGATTTTTGTCGAACTGAGTACCGTCAACACTTTTATGGTGCATCCGATACATTTGTAAGTTGTAAACAGGCGGCGAAGTTTGACACTAATGGGTTTACCTCCTTGAATCTCTGAGCCGTGTGCTCCTCCGCCGCTCCCGAGGGCCTGATGTGCCCGGATCGGTGGTACACGAGACCCGGAGACGCCACTGGTAAAGTCCTTGCGGCGATTGAACTCTCTGTGATGTGTGTTGATGTGGGTTTGATTAGATGGGTTTTACCACAGCCCTGCATCTGTTGCCTGAAAGACGGCGACCGTCCGCCGCTCCAGTCGGGTAGACTGTGCTCGCCAGACTGCAATCCTGGTCCGCAATGGGAGTTTGGGTGGTTGTGATCGCCCCAGAGCTGACAGAAATGAGGCGGTCTGCGGCCGGAGGGGTGTCTGGCCGTCGCGCTCGGGGCGTCTGTGCGCCATGAATTGGAAACTGGTACCGCCAGCTGTGCTGAAGTGAGAGAGTCTGGGCTGGATAAGCACGGATGTGTGGTCGGGTCGAAGTGGATTTTCCAGTGCAGTGCTATAGCATCGATCACAACGTTGAAACGTTAACGTCGTGACTGCTCGTTCGCCAAAAGTGCAGGATGGTAGTGTAAAATGTAAGGCGGAAAGTGTAGCAGTATGAATGGACGATGTCTTCCGGTTTCCAAGTGAGAAGCCTGCACTCGAGCTGGTAATGGGCTACTTAATTTGTCATGACACTTCTGTCACTCGAGCTTTGAGAATGAGCGTACTACTTTCTACTTGTTATTGGTCTCATATGTCAAGCTGTGGCTAGCATTCCTTTGCTTTGTCGCCATGAGTCGCTGATCTTCTCAGTATCAAACGCCAAGCTGACATGGTTTAAGTGCCAACTAGTCTAATGATTTGATGTTTCGTCTCTGGCTTATGATGGATGCAGCAGCGTATGTGTCGTAATGTAATGTGTCTTGTCAACTTAACCTTTGCGTACATTCCTCGCAGTTGCTTGTATTGTGAAGCTATGGCAAATACATGACGTCAATCAACCCACAACTGATGTGTCGTACATCTGCATGCGGGCAGTTACAAAGCCATGTTATGCGTCCGGCTTTCGGCAAACACACACAATTTCCCTACTGCGTCCATCGGCCAAAAAAGGGCGCTCGATTGAAGAGCCGGTACCGCCGTCCAAAGGATGCGATTGGGCGCGGTATAGGATGAGCTCAGAACTTCTCAAGCCGATGAGAGCTCCCTTTCATCATGGGGCTATGTGATGTGGGGCGGTCGATTGAAAATTGAATTGGCCATCTTATAGGGTGAGGCAGGCTGGAATTCAGTCCGCAGAGGAAAAGTAATTGCATGAGCTTAAAAGTTTATGTTAGCATCTAGTGGTTACAATAAGCACATCATAAATCTGCTGTGGACGGCCCTGTAAGCCTCAATATGAGCTTTCAACCGCCAACAAAAAAAGTTTCACAAGCTAGCTGTAATTCGTTTTTCAAGACATGAAGTGCATTGCAACTACCGATGTGCCTCCCTCACTCAGCGCCTTGCAGCAGAATCCGTTAGTATTCCCCCGGCCTCTGGTCCACTGTCAGAGTCCTGAACAGAGCCAGGCGGGCCGGGAAGACGCTATATGCCACTCAAGTCCTTAATGGGTACAGATAGAACTATTCGGCGCAAAGTTTAGACGGCTATCGCTGCGTTGTGCCCACCCGGCGCCTTCCACGTTCATGCGAATTCACAAATTAGTGCGCCAGACCGGCAAAACTTGCGCCTGATTGCAGCATGCGCGGTGTAATTATTCATGTCATGAATTATTAACGATGGCCAGCCTCACAAGAATGCCGGCGGGCACGGCTGGCGGCAGAAGCTTGTACTGGGAAGCGGAGTTCCAGGCCATGAAGTTATGCTCCCCATGACCGGAGAGTGAAATATTGGCGGGTAAATGTTGAAAAGGTAAATGCACGGCTTCTGAAGATTCCCAGCGGTATCAGGCACAGGAAGACTCTGAAATGTGAGCATGGCTTTTCTCTGCATTCAGGCAATTATTGATGACGTAATTAAATCAGCGTCAGTCATCCCATGAAACAACCGGGGTGAACAGAGCCGTGAGCGAATCTCAGCGGTTACGGCAGGACTACATGTGTGATGCGGTACAGCATACCCCTTCAGGTGCGTACTACTGCTGCCACCTGTTTGCAGAGATTTCATTAAAATTCTGCCGCGGCGGCACAGTGTTCTTTGTAGAATCTCATTCGCACAAAAAGGCTTTGTTGGTTCTTTTCTTAGGTTTATAATAGACGTCTGAAAGGCTTTTGGTGTATGTATACTTGGTCTTTGCGTCTGCTATCGTTTGTTGTTTATACATAGAAATTAGAAATGATGACTTACAGCGAGGTAGGTAGGAGGGTGTGTGTGTGGGGGGGATTGGGCTCCGACTTGAAGTGTCTGGAGTCGGGACGACATGTAAATGAAGAAAGGAAAGCGAACCTGCAGACTTTAACGTTTTAACCCTATTCCTGGCGGGGGGGGCCTCAGGAGCCCCCCCCCCTGAGGTTTTTTGGTTATATCTCCCAAACGCGTTGAGCTAGGAAGCTCAAATTTTCTGACTTTTCCTAAAAGGCTTCTACGCAACATGTCTGAAAATTTTGAGTTGATCTGACCTCAGGTCAGGTCACCAGAGGCGGTTTGGTGACGCTACCTCAGAAAAGTTTGCAATCACGCCAGAGCTAGAGTTTTTGACCGATCAATTTCTTCTCTTCAGGGTTTAGTTAGGGTACCAGTATGTGCAATTTGTATATCTCGGAATTTTGATATCGGTGACCTAAGGTCAGGTCAATTTCGCGACCTCCCCATTATAAGTCAATGGGGGAAAAATCAACTCCCTGTTTTTACCACTAAAACGGGTCGGAATGGCCCCATATACCTACCATACATGACTTCATATACGATCAACCTTCACTACCTTGAGGTCTGTTTTGCTGTTGGGCAGCTGTGAGGTCATGTGACGTCATCAAAGGTCACCAAAGGTTTTTGGCCAATAACTCCGTACAGGAACAAGATACAGACGCGTGGATGGTCTCATTGTGTTCAGCTCGTCAAGACGCATCGAATGATATACATGATGACCTCGAGGTCACGTGACCTGAGGTCAACCTTTGACCTTGACCTTTCGAGGTCAACATATATATCATTCGATGCGGATTGACGAGAGGATCACGATGATGCCCTTAGTTTGTTCCTATCTTGACTAATTCGAAAGTTATTCGAGAAAAACTCTCTCCATATCTAGTGCCGCCATTTTGACTTTTTCGACCACTGTGACGTCATCTTTGACCTGACCTGAAAATGACCTTAGTAAAAATTGTAGATCTTGGCCGTGCGTATCCGATGCCGTTTACCGCTTGTCGCTATCTTGCTTCGTTCTTGAGATCTCAGGGGGGGGCCGAATCGGCCCCCCCCCCCCCGCCAGTTTCTTGTCCCGGCGGAGCCCGCCAGGAATAGGGTTAAGGTCAGTTTCATAATGTAGCACTAGCGTGCGCCGTGCGCCACACAACGGATGCAGCGAAACTTGATAAAGTCACTTAGAGTAGGTATATTGTCAGGCGGGATGAAAGAAGGAGGGCAATGCGCTCAACTGAACTGTAAATCCGTAACATGGTTTTAAGCATAACGCGGCGGGATGGTGCGAAGCGCAATCGCTAAAGCACGTCGCATTGCTTCTTTTCCGGCCACCACTTTAAAGCAACCTATTATATGATAGAGCAACTATAACATGATTATTAATGCAGAGCAAACGCATATTTCAACTAATGACTCGGCTTTCGTGTCCCTAACACTGTTGAGGCATTGGCACGGTAAGAGAGAAAAAAAAACATGGAATAGTGTTGAGCAAATAAAAGAAGCAACGCTGCGTCTCTCTCTCTCTCTCTCTCTCTCTCTCTCTCTCTCTCTCTCTCTCTCTCTCTCTCTCTCTCTCTCTCTCTCTCTCTCTCTCTCTCTCTCTCCTCTCCTCCCCTACAATCTCCCGTCTCCTGCTATCTTCTCCTCCTTTACACATGAGCCCGCGGTATTTCTCGCTGTCCCGACCACTCACAGCTCTGTTTTCCGTGTCGCCACCGTCCAAGTGTTGTTGCTCGTCGCCGAGTGGGTCATCTCAGCCATGTTGTGCCGCCGTTAGCTGTCGAAGGCTCCGCTCGGCTCGACACAACAGCGTCGCTACCGTCATAAAGTGCACCAGGTGTGTCGTCAACAGGCTTAGAGCGGACGAATTGGCGGATGTGTGCCACATCCGCCTTGCACGTCTACGCAGCTTGCACGATCTGTAAAAGTAATACGGTACCGTGGCAGGCGCTTGGAGGTGTTTACGCATCAGCTAATCACTCACATTTGCTCAGATGGATGTGAAAAATATGTAAATTAAAATGCTGCGTGTGTTACGCAACTCGCGGCATTACGATTTTCGCACTTGGTTGCATTGCTGAAAGGTGGTTCAGTAATGGAGGAGGCAGTTGCCTCTCGGAACATACAATGAACTCCGGAGCAGGTTTGATGTGAAAGTACTATTTATTTCATCCCAAGCTCAGACTTCTGCACAGTAACACGGCCACTACATCTAGGGCATATTCAATAGTAAGTACATCTTGAACTTGGCACAGCCTCCTAGGCAAGTTTCTGACGCGAACTGGTATTGACGTTTCAGAGAGCCGGCTGGTCGGGAGGGGGTCGCTCCGGCTCAGTGACGGGGACGGGTAGAGGGGAAGGGGTCAGCCATCTCCGCTCCATCCCTCTCCTCCGCGGATAATTTCCGATCGACTCCCTTCGGCGAGTTCGGAAGTGGCGGGCCGGCCCGGCCTACGGAAACAATGTGTCATCGCTGCCAAAAGCTTTTAACCTAATCGGCTGCCGCCCGCTCCCGCTCCCCCCTCTCCCCCCCCCCCCCCCGCGGACCCCACCGGTGTCGATGCCCGGTCTTTGACGTGCAAGGTGCTGCGGCGCTGCCTAAGAGCACCTCCCCAGATCAGACACACGCAGTGGCGACTGGTCGCCGACTTTACCAGGAGTGTTGCGCCAGAGGTGATCATTCTCACGCCGCTGGCGTCGGTGCCTGTTGCAAGTGGCGGCTGCCTGATTTTAGCTTTAATATTGGCTTTAATTTGTTATCAAGGATGCATCACGTCAGGTTACGTTAAGATCAAATCAGTGGTATTAAAACTATAATCCCTATATATATATTGCCTTGTTATTATCAGAAAATCAATTCATTGTTCCGATCCAGGTCAATCTATATTTTTCTGTCACCATTTTTTTCTCAGCTCACACTCATTTTTCTTTGATCATGCCGCTGCACGTGCTCAAATTCAGCATCATCATCTGCGGCACGTAACACCCTCCCCCCGTGAGACACACGTCTCACCTCTAACCTATCCTGCCCTCCAACAGATGAAGCCGCTGGATGGGTCGCACGACGGTGCCATCCACGGTGCGAACGGAGGCGGCACGCACTCGGGCATCTCGGCCGTGGTGTAGCTCGACGATGATCCCTGTTCTCCACAAGGCACGTGAAGAGCGTGGATTGTCTCCAATGAGCACCAGGTCGTGTTCCGCGGGTTTACGTTGGCCGGTCTCCGGACGAGGAGGTAGACGTAGCTCCTTCAAATACTCAGTCTTCCATCTGTTCCACAGATGCTGAAGAACTTGTTGCCGGTATTTTCTTCCAGCCCTGAGACGCTGGCCGCCGATAGAAGAGAGGTCAGCATCATGGAGACCAGTTTCATCGCCTGCAGAGTTGCCATGCAGGAAGTCTTGCGGAGACAGAGGACGGACGTCCTCAGGGTCATCAGTAAGGGCCGTCAGGGGTCTCGCGTTGATGGCTGCCTCTATTTGACACAGCACAGTACTCAATTCTTCCCACGTGAGGAGGCTTCTTCTTAGAGTTCGACGCAGAGCGTCCTTCGTCATGCGTATCAGCCTTTCCCAGAATCCACCCCACCACGGGGCTCGCTGTGCACTAAACTTCCACTTGATTCCTCTCGTGGCCAAGAT